CCTTCGACGAACTGATCCGACAGCAACTGGTGTCGCGACACTCCGTCCAGCGTCGGCAGAGTGCGATCCAACAACTGCTGCAGGCCGGCGAAGAACACGGTCGGGTCCGATCCGGGTGCCATCCTGGCCGACTTGAACCGCCTCATAGCCTCCTGGCGGTCAGCCGGCGTGTCGAACTCGGCTGCAAGGGGCACTCCATCCTCTACGGGACCCTTCTGACCGCATCCAGGGCCGCCTTCGCCCGACCCGTCACAAGGGTCTTCAGGGCTCCCAACTTACCCTGGTCGGTCTCCAGTCCGGCAGTCTCCGCAACCTCCTCAAAGTCCTCCAGGAAGGCCCGATCATCCCATCCTCAAAGGGTTGAGGACACCGGATCTTCATCCTTACCCTGGTCACGGCACCAAATGAAAGGAAGAAGGCCTTCGCTGCGGAGTTATTCATCCAGAAATGCCAATTAACCGGTTACAAACCATTGAACAGGGCAGCAAAATTCTAATCTGCATCTTAGTTACAAAAACTGGACACAGATCTTCTCCCGAACTAGTCTTCCTAGAGATTCATTGCCACCACTCATTCGTCGGTCAAATCCAAGCAAATGTTACAAAGTATCCCCACGAATTCCGCAGCAGAATTCCATTTTTCAATCGACGCAAAGCGAAATTCTACGAACAACACATACTACTCGCGTGCCTCCCTAATCAGTAGTATCACCGTTACATGGGTATACCTGTTATGATTTGTACCTCAGACTCTATTTCAAAAATGCATGTTTTCTGGTATGAAGAGGTCGCCGCGAGTTTGATACGAAGTGTGCCTAGGTGCACAACAATGAGCTGCAAAGTTGATCTGGGTTTCATTGGGACGAAATGAGTAGTCCATCACTTTTTCAGGACCAACGTTTTCCAGCAATCATTAGGCTTTAATTTGCAGATACGATAACCTTCAAAACCACCAATTATTTGGACTGCCTGCGTTTTTTGATCTGGTGCATAACTTGGGCTTCGCTATGTCCTCCCAGATGGGTAATAAGTGTTCCGCAAATCCAAGCCTTCTAATAGTAGCAGGAATCGACGGGCAATAATATAGACTAAAAGGGAAGTCAAAAAGTTCAGCTGGCCTGAAAACAACCTTGCAACTGCAAGGTGTCATGATCATTTTTTGACCGACTGTCAGCCACCATTAATGTTTAGCAGAATTACTCATAGGCAACGCCGTACGTGTAGCACGCAACCCTCATTTTGACAGGAACCGCTACACCTCAGTCCTCTTCTAGCAGAAAACCTCCCGTCTGTAATACATTACCCAAAGGAAAATTGATTTCCAGAAAAATCATCTGTACAGTTCTAGTCCAAACAAATGTGCAGGTGGTCATAATCTGCTTCCAAATTTTACACAAAATTGGTTCATGGAGGACATACGGTTGACGCACGAAGCAGGAGGAAGGAGCGGGCCGCGGGTTTTCGAAAGGTTTTCAGGAACTTCACGAATAGCTACCTTCAAAAAATACACCCAACCTATATTTCCGTTTGAAACAAATGCTGCAGAACTTTCTCAGATGAAATCACTGAGGTGCTTGTCAGTACTCGGTAAACAGAGGAACAGTGGTGGTTGTTTCTTGTAAGCTGGACACCAAAAACGAAATTGCTAGTATAACGTTAAATTTTTCCACTTTGAAATAAAGAACAAAGTTAGCCCGTGCTGAATCAAGCCAACAGATTCTTGTATCGAAAAGTTGGCAAGACAAGTTACCTCTACTTTTAGCTGACTGCAGTATGTGTGGAGGCATTTCAAAAGTTAGCATGTGTAAAATCCTCCTTAGCCAAACGAATGCCACATACTCCTGAGATAACAGTGTTACTCCCTTACGTGTGTTTGTGTTACTATGAATCATCAGGAAGTGCGACTGAATTCATACTCAACTTCTTGATAAGTCTCATCTTTAACGTCTGTGGAACGCTAACGGGCATTAGAGCGGATTCAAAACACATAAATTACTTGGCATAAATTGTTATTCCCAAGCGAAATAATCCTAAGTCACATCCGGATGAGCGAATTAAACCACTTGAAACTGCTGAAGAATATCCTGGGAGACCCAGAGAGCCAAAAACTAGAGTATGTACGCTTGGGACAACTTTCAACACTGAGCAAACTCGTCCTGCAAAAAACCATACACATGACATAACTATCCCAAAGCCCAACGTGTCTCATTATGCGGAAATCAGCGACTCCCGATAAACTTAGCAACACCTCCAAAATTATGAAACCGCTTTCTTTGCGGACACCCCCAAGTGACCAGGACCCGTGTTGTGGAGCAGCGTGGCCTCTATGCTGCGCTAGTTGCGATATGTAAACTGGGAGTTTTACCAGCTTTCCTTTAACCTAAGAGCTAAGGTAGGTTCTTCATACACTGCATAGACTTCTTCTGTATAACGACCGATAAAGTGTGCTTGGGAAACGCTCCAGCATAAATAATCACGTGAATTTGTGCGAAGCGAACGAGGCTTTCTTTCACGCAACTCATCTATACCCAGAATGATTTTACGAAACATTGTTCTAGTAAGTGCGCTAGTAAGTGGTATAACCGCAGTAAGACTTTTCTATAAATATTTTCATCCTGATTTGATTTACAAAATTTTTATGAGGTTTCACCAATTATTTCTATTCTGAACTGTCGATTGTTTTCAACATTGACGCTACTAAAATCTTCTTCGTTCTTCCCTTATAGTTCTCGCTTCGGGACGCCTCATACTAACTTCACAGATGGCGGACAAATCATGGCTTTGATACAAGGTGAGAACAGGAATGTCGCTCAGTGAGATTTATTCAGAAAAACCGAGGGGGCCGAACAAGTGAAAATGGTTGAACGATGACAAGACTGGGCGCACCATAAACATAAGCATGATTTGGATAATCTTCAAATGGCGACTATACTACCACCGGCTTAAAGCCGACTCGTTTTTGTGTACATAAATTTTACCAGTTAGCGTCATCAGTTGCGTTAAATGAGACAAGATAATTCCCTTCAGAAAGGTCAAAGAAAGTTGCACAACTTTTTCTTATCTTCCGCGGAACTCGCAGCGCGGTTTGAAAAAGTTTTCAATTCAAATTCTGAGCGACAATGTCACACACTTAGCTATTTAGATACTATGTATTAGTCCTCCTATTAGACCAAACCTAAGTGTAGCGAGTTGAACCCAGTTGGCACACAAAGGAATGAGGTGAAATCTTCAGATGCAGATTACTTCTCTGTTGACTGGCTCTCCTTGGCTGAGTCCCAGCTTCTTTGACTTTATAAGGATGAATTGAAATGCAAACAAAACGGCAGTGCTTTTAAGCGTAGTTCTAGTTCGCCCTGTATCAAGAACTTCATAAAAATGATTTGTCAAAAAGATCATAACAAGACCGCATCTGGTTTCCATCACAGTTAATTTTCTTTACGCATTAAGGAGTACGTTAAGACTCAAGAAAATCCGAAATACCAGTCTTTATTCTTAGAAGACATAGAAAAGGCTCATTACAGCAAGTTATTAGCAAGTCCGTGTTCGGAATGCATCGAGGCGTTATTTAATCACTCAAAAAAAGTTGCTAGAAGACGGGGATCAACTTAGAGACAGCTCATAAAATCATGGCAATTCCCAGTAGCTAAAGACGGAAACTCTACACAGTCTTACAGATTTAATCACGTATTGATATTCTTCCGCATAATATGTAGCACGCAGATATTTACCCAAATTTCAATGAACTTCCACTAGAAACTTACTAGCTAATAAAACTTGCGACCCTACATCGGTAGGAATCAAGCACATACAACTGATTCGATCTCCAAGGGCTGAATTTTTGAAATTGATAAGCATGAGGTAATATTCAACGGAGACTCTGTCGTGTTTGTTGGGCCAAGCTACGCTGAGAAGCCTAAGAGCAGTGCACAACTGTTTTGTCCATATGTAAATTCATTAGCAGTGGCATCTCACAGAACTCAGAGTTTCGAGCCCGGCTAGTAGTTGGAAACTTAACCACTCACACTCGGGCGACTGCACAGCAATGTCATTGTGTTATTATACAGTGCTTCTCGACTCTTCAGCATAGACTGGCCTCACCCATAAGACGAAATCTCGCTAAAATTACAAAATCTCCTCATAGGTCAACTGGTCAAACATCTAGCTAGTAGAAATACCTGACTTGAGGCACATGTACGTCGGTGACGGTAAGTGGGCTCACAGGAGTTCAGCTGCACGTTTACTTCCGTACTTATTGGAACTCATCAGAGAGGTGTGAAAGATCGGGTACACAACCATTTAGTGAACGATAGATGGTCAAGCTCCTGCCAACCTGTTTGCATAGCTGGCTTTTTCTGGGACAAAGTCATTTCGCAAAATAAGAATTGCATCCTTAGTGTAACGCGACAAGCCTCCCTCACGGTAATCTATCCCAAGGGTTTTAAAGTATAAGGGAGAAGAAACTTGAAATCGATAGCATTTTCTTCCGTTTGATAAGGCTTTGCTTCAGCAATCCACTTTGTACTTCTACCAGTCCAACTACTCCCCGACTGATGAACTGAAAATCAGACGTCCATCAAATGGGATATCCAAATTAGGATAAGAAGTAATTGGGTTACTTTAGAGACGTTTTACCGGGAAACCTGGTCTACAACTATGGACGGCCACCAAACAAGACCGATTCTCCCCCCCCCCCCCCCCCCCCCCGCACGTTCACGACACGCAAATAAGAATTGCATCCTTAGTGTAACGCGACAAGCCTCCCTCACGGTAATCTATCCCAAGGGTTTTAAAGTATAAGGGAGAAGAAACTTGAAATCGATAGCATTTTCTTCCGTTTGATAAGGCTTTGCTTCAGCAATCCACTTTGTACTTCTACCAGTCCAACTACTCCCCGACTGATGAACTGAAAATCAGACGTCCATCAAATGGGATATCCAAATTAGGATAAGAAGTAATTGGGTTACTTTAGAGACGTTTTACCGGGAAACCTGGTCTACAACTATGGACGGCCAGCAAACAAGACCGATTCTCCCCCTCCCCCCCGAAAATTTTGCGACAAGCACTAGTGCTCATCACTCAGTGGATGAACTGCCGGTCACATTATTTATTTGTCCAATTTTTACTGTCTAACTTGAAATTATGACTTAAAATACCATTACAGGTGTTAAACAATATTCCTTAAGATTAGTTATCTAGGAAAATCGCTCATTTTGACCATACACAGTTTTAACGCCCAACTTGCTGATTTAACGAGAAACATGCCTGTTAACCGTATAGAAACTAGGCTATTCGTATGTGAGGTTAAAAATTCAATGCGCTTTGCACATCATCAAGGCCGAAGACAAGTAATTCAAAACAAAGGTTATTTCCCGTTGTCGGTAATGTATTTTGTTTGCTGACCCGAAATAAGGGACCTGTGTTCCCACCAGCCCTGTGTGCAACTATACAAATATTGTGAACTTAGATTTGATTGTCTTGTCTAGCCTAAAAGCATCCAAACAATTTCCGTGGGCTAGGTTGTGCTTTTTCCACACTTCTCCCCCAGCAATGCACTCTGGTGAACTGCAGCAGGAGTTTCAACTTACTTGTCTCGCTTTAAATAACCATCTGCTAGTCATCTTTTGCGGTAAAACTCCAGATTGAGAACACAATAGGTGAAAAATTGTTAGCCCTTTGGTCTCTTATCTGCCATTTCTTCTCCAATCTATTGAATTTCTTTCCTCCAAAGCTTTGAGGAATGCACATAAAGTAATGAGAACTAGGAGGGATCTTTCGCCATTGATTTCCGCCTTCCCTAAATACAGCCGTATAACAGAAAATAAAGTATATACTGATAGTGTAACGCTGGGTAACACTTCTGGTGTTTTTATAAAAAAATAGTTAATGATTCATTTTGATAAAAAGACAGGAGACACCTTACGACACACAATTACTTAGGAACAGGTCTAAAACAGATATTAGTGGCCATAGCTAGGTAGTACACTTGAAAAATGCTTGTTAGGTACGCCTTCAAATTAACCTACAGTCATGTTCACCGCGCATTGATTACTCTATTCACTCGGTTTTCGAAGCACAAGCATGATTGCACACGTGTAATCAGTATGGTTTCACGGACTGAATATAACCTATTAGAAGAGATGCACTGGTTTTTTGTAACAGTAAAAATGCGAATCCGATCTCAAGTTTTTTGTTATAAAGTACAAGCACGGGCGCTGTTTCAGCATCTGTATGAATAAACTATAAATGAGCATGGGCTCAAGATGATTTACAAAATGGCTAATATCTGGAACAAGAAGTTTGAGTAATGCATTGTTTGACTTACCCTAGGGAGGGTGAATCGAAAAAGACGGATCACGTGCGTGTCCGAAATCTCGGCGCTTTTCTCCCACTCCACCAATGCTGCATACTTCGAATCAGAGTGCGCTCAAACGACATGGATTTATAAAGTGGCAGAACATCAGACTTATGGTTGGGTAGTTGACCAACAGCCGGAGTTTACAGTTGCATTTGGCTGATTTTTTCACGTTAAAAACCGTCAAGGCGCGTTCATTCATTAACTGCACTCTGCTCTTGCTTCACCGTGAGCTCCAAAAACCATTAAATGTTAGCGGATTAGCATTCACTAAGATAATTATAGGTACGCTATGATGTGGAATACAGGTCCGCTTTTCCGTTTTTTTTTTCAGGAGAGCAGGTACACTCACTTATTTTTGGGCTGAACGAATAACTGGAATAGCAAATGATGCGTCACTTTTGCTGTCAAAGTACATAGTAGAATACAATACAAGGGCTATTCCTATAGCACCGAAAATAATCAGGATAAACATACATGACCGTTCATCCCGACGATATTGAATGGCACCGAACAAGAAGTCACCAGCAACTGGTTGGCCTGCACGTGCTCCATAACTCACAGTCCGTATCTTGGAACAAACGGGCTAAAGAAGCAAACGGACTACATTCATTAGATGGGGCCGGGATTTTTCGGAGTTCAAGTGTGGGTTGCTGACTATGATTTGACGAAATTCTTATGCGATTCCCCCAAAATCACCCTACTCAGTCTCAAAGTACTCGACAAAATTTGCGTTATTATTCATGTACTCGCGAATGGAGTTGATCCTTACGTTCAGTTGTAAAAACTTGTCGTCTGTGTGCTTAGAGTTTCGCTTAGTTTGCTTTGACTTCTTCTGACTGAAATTTGAGACCGTACTAGAAACAGATAACTTGAGTACGCTGGCCAGACCTCACATGGGTAGGATGAATTTTCCAAAGACAAAATAATACATTTAGTTTCAAGTTCTGTTGGAACTTCGGACTGGTTAATTACCAGGATGTATTAATTTCGCTCTACGCTTCGACAGATGCTTTGTTCCTCCGAAAGCGCGCACGAAAAGGGTAGCTTCGTAGATGTCTATTTGTTTAGTAAGATGATCGGATTGATGATAAACGGATCCCCTTAAGCGTTTCAGCACATCTGCCCCTCTGAAGGGCCCAATTTCAGAGCCTACTTGTGCTGACAAGCTGATGAGGAATTCAAGGTGAGTTGTTCCGGGCGACACCTTGGCACAGGCTGGCTCGGTCAATCATTCCCCAAAAACACCGTTGCTGTTATTTTGTCACCAGCTTTCGTCAGACTTAAAAATCATCCGATCGTGAAGCTCAAAAGTTCATGTGTCAGATAATGTATTTGCACTTTCTGCTGATGGTGCAGGACCAGATGCATGCAAAAAAAGTCTCGGAAAAGGTCGAGAGATTTCCTGAAACAAATAACTTGATAAAAAATAATCAGCAAGAATCATGTAGAAGCGAGTTTCTAACTGTATTTTCATTTGTATCAGCAAAGCACACCGAAGGGAATGCAGAAAACTCAGATATTTTTAACGCCTCCAGATTCCATATTGACAAGATCAACAATCAGCAAACAACTACTTGCTTCGGAAGGTCACTAGAAACTCATGTACATCATTTTCCAGTCTCGCCAATTTCTGGACTCACCAGTGGGCTAAACCCCAGTGTTTCCATCTGTTCTATGTGCACATTGTACGAGCTGTTTGGTGGCTTGTTTATGGGATGTGGCCTCTTCGGGCAGAGGAACTAAGACAGAACCATTGCTTGTGTGGACTGATGTTAGTGAAGCAGTAACGAAACATTCAGAAACATTTGGATATAAAGAAGAATGTGTCCAGCACCAGAAGCTCCCTTGGTTTGGCTATGTGTTGCGCATACCGAACCATCGTCTTGCCCAAGGTTGCTGTTTTCCGTGCCCAAGTGAGAGTGACACAAACAGAGAAGTAGTTAGCCTTTGACCTGGCAAAGGATTACGAAAGATTACAAAAGTTTTGAACGTTGTCATCATGATTTGTGATCCACAGTGTGCCCGATTAAGAAGGCTGCAAGATGGAGCTGATTATCGATATCAGCTTTCCAGGCTGCATGAATTAGTATATGAAGGTGTAATCACCTCAGGAAGATCGTGGTGTACTGGCACTGAGTCTCTTCCCCGTCCAGTTTTATTCTTTTCTTCACAGTGAGGCTTTCAATTAAATCGTGGTTGTAAGGCAGCGAAGCATTGACGCTGAACACTGATGTACTGCCGATGACGCTAATGATGATGGATAGAAGTAAACTAAGCCAGAACATAACAAGGGTAGGAAAACTGTCGTCTAGTCAACGGAAGGTTATTTTAGTCCCACAATCATACAAGTCAAGTGCCTGTGTATGTTGTCAATATTCCCAAAAATCTAATTAGACCCACATGTATTTCTTCAAGCTAACCCAAACAGTGTTTGTAGTTCCAGAACGGGCAGTTCTTTGCATGAACTGTCTTCCTCTGTAACCGGTTATTTCATTTTCCGTTTTGAACCACACAACATAACCCAAATGGTATCCAGTTGACGTTATGCTTAACGAAGGTACCAAAACTTAATGAAGAAGCCAAAGGCAAATTCGCACTTTTATCATTTAAGGAATGTTGTATAATGGGAACCATAATAAAAACTACCACAACAAGTGGTCACTCGTTCTGTCTTGGATAAATGGTGGTCTGTCCCTGCCAATTTAGCTGGCAAGCCAACCGGTAGCCAGGTTACATTGTATCTCCAGAGAAACCTGCAATTTAGACCGTAATTCGTGTGTGTTTATGGGAACACTTGGATGTTCTTAACTTAATATAAGACCCCGGTTCTCTTCTGATATCAACCTGGTGTTTTCGGCCCACAGAGGAACAGCTCAAAGTCAGTGCATCGGAAACTCTCGAGGAACTTGAATGGTGCCTGGAGCGACTGGAAAACATCCAAACTCACAGGTCTGTGAGCGACATGGCAACAAGCAAGGTAGGCGGTTTCCCTAGCATTTGGTTCAGATTTTCTATTTTCCAATGCAGTGTTGATTCCTAATAAGATAGTGGTTATGGGAACGATGTATATCGGGATGTCAGGGATAAAAGCAAATGGCGAGAAATCTTGTCACCTAACATGGAGGTACTTGTTCTATCCGGATACGCTAACGCGCAAACGAGTAGCACGTACTAATAGGGCAATTCCATCCAGCATTTGCTTTAATCAGTATTTGGACAAATTCATTGGCGTTTTCCAGTTCAGTTGTGACTATACACGTATTTTCGTTGTCTCGATGTTGGTTTATCTTTCAATCTACACCTGTTTTTGGATAATATATAGCGGTGTACTTTAGTGCTTCAGACGTTGTATAAGGTTTTGATATCAGTTTCATCTACCCTATTGGGGTAAGTATATCTGCAAACAATGTTTCGTTATTTATTCCTGGAGATCCGTATGTGTGATTTCCCTGAATAAATCAGTGTGGTCCCTAATTCATCAGATAACGCTCACCCCAAGTTTCCGACTGCTTCTGCAAAATGCCAGCAAAATAGGCAAGATGTTCTGGAGATGTTCCAGTCTTTTCTTAGGGTTAACTAATGTGTCTCACTTACTTACCGTCCACTGAAATATGTCAGTGCTTGTCAGATTTGTGTCACCGTGATTTTATCAGCTAAAAGCTGGCAAATACTACTGTTGGAGATTAAATACCCGTGAGTCCAAGGATATAGGGCTCCAGCTGAGAGGAATTATCCTGTGTATAAGAACTGGGCGTACTCAGAGTGCTAACGTATGTTGGAGCCCTATGGGGTGTTTTGCAGCTATGTGTTTACAGACAGCAATTACCATCTCTAACTTTTAGCCTACCGACAAGCTGTTTGGCCACAAACTCGTAGTTGTCAGTGACTCGGTAAATGAACGCTTTAATCTCTTCCGCTAGGGCACTCCTTGATATGTCCTACAATCCACATGACTACTTAAATGTTGACAATCGGAAAACCAACCTCTGTTAGTAATTTTCATTCCTTCAAGGCGTTTTCTTTCGTGAAATGAAAATAGCAACTTTCACCAGTCACTTTCATTATGGAATGTAAGTTTTCAACAGACTCGCTAGTCTAAGTGGTTGTTTATCACATCCTGATTATTTTCTGTTCGAAGTTGGTGCCGGACCATGTTACTGAACTACGAGTAGATTTAAATTAGGGTTTTCTTTACAGTGGTGTTTTTTATTTCCTCCACTTGATGTGAAATGGCTTTTGGTGACAGGCACAACATTAGTCGATGGGTGGACGTTCTTTTAAACAGTGACATATATACGCATAGAGCAAATAATGATGTTCTAGTAGAAATGCAAGAAATGATTTTACAGTAGTTCAGAAAATGTCAACATTTGGAACTAGTTAAGTCAATTTTTACCATGCAAATACGGATGCGAAAAAAGAAACAAAAGCGACACTCCTATGGTATTAAATCAAACTGACATGGTACCATGCATATAAAAAGTTCATCTAGTTACTTTATTATTAGGGAGGTTACGTTGACAAAACATATAAAAAAATCGGTTTCTGTCAGGGAGAACCTTTATTTCTCCACATTTTTAAAAATAACAATTCCTCGCGTGACTTTATAGTCGCTATTACCGACATGCAGAGATAGTATATCCGTAGCGTGGCAAATTCTGATGGACGTTTGCTGAAAACATTTGACCAAATGACTGAAGTAATTACACTAGTGACAGGAATTCTTGCATCCAAAACTGCTCTCCAAAAGAAAAAATGTTTGCAAATGCCATCTACATGATGCTTCATTTTGCCAGGCATATTTGTCGTTCTGATGGGGATTCCATAGTAACCTAATAAACTCTGGTCCCCTCTGCATAATGCCACACATAAAATGATCCTGCAGCGTCATTAACGTACCATCATACTCAGTCTGCTCTTTCGTGCGCACTTGTCGGTTAGTTTTCACAGCATGAAGTTCTGATTAATGCTGTTGCACCAACTTGTAAGTGATGCATAGCCGCCGTCATGCCCTAAAATGTGTCGCTGTTTCACCACAGGCAACTAATGGGATCATTTGCAAATGCCTCCAAGTATAGAAACACATTGACGATTCGGGAAGGCCAAAAGCCCATTGCATAAATAGACTCTAAATTTTAAATGTCGACTGGTTTTTTTAAGACTAATTGTATCCCCACCAGTCATTTTGTGTGCGTTTAATCTTTCTTCTTCCCATTTTGTTGTAGTTCAGAAAAATGCTTAACAAGGAACTCAGTCAGTTTAAAGATGGCTGCCAAAACGCCAAACAGATATCAGAATACATATGTTCTACGTTCCTTGACCCCAATGAAGTCGATCCAAATTCTGCAATCACACACTTGCCTGATAAGGCCAGTAATGAGAATCTCTCGCGTGACTCTTCAAAAGCCACTAATGTAACACAGAAAACCAGTAACTCTACAGAGGTGCGAGTCTGCGGTGCCTCGTTTCTTAATATAGCTGACACCGAAGGACCAAAAGCTGCTGATGAGCACCAATGGCTCCAGAAAGCCAACACAGAGTCTTCCCAATCGTGTGACCGTGTGACACCAACATCAGCATTATCGTTAGACGTGTTGCCACCTGGACTCAAGTCAGATCAAATGGCTAGGTTAAAACAGGTAAGAAGCGATTATTCATTTCTCTTATTATCTAGTTCAATAACTTCTCAGTGAAATCTCGAGGTCGAACGTGGTAGACCACTGACTAAACCTCTTAAAATCTCAGCAAGCTCTCAAAGATTATGCATCATACAGCCACTCCGTCCGTTTTGACGGCGTGCACCTCACGAAACTCGTAAACGATACGACACCGTGACCATCCTGTTAGAAGTTGAGTGCAAGACATCCAGGAAAGAACAGCTAATCACCATTTACAATAATTTGTATGCAGATGAAAATCAGCGTTACTACGCTTTACTAACTGGGTTTAGATCAAACGATCCGGTGTTGACCAGCTCCCCGAATAACAACGGTTCAGATGGAAAGCCCAGGAGATCTTGAGGGCTTTCCCTTCCAATCTTTCTGGCAGTGGGCTAACTTCTCCCTGACCCACTTTATGCATGAACAATGTCACCGAACGCCGAGCAATTTGTGTCTTAGCTTCATTTACCCGCAGACCAGCCTCCCAGATACGCTTCAATACGGTCCTCAAGCGAACTGCTTGCTCTGGTTCCGAACTGCTGTACACAACAATATCGTCTCCATACACGGCAACATTCTGGAGTCCCTTCGTTACACGAAGCACCAGGCGCCGGAATGTGAATGGTGCCCCGGAGAAACCAAACGCCATTCGTCTCAATTGATATTGGGTGTCCCCAACCGTAAAGGTCGTTTTCTCCCGGTCCTTCTCCTTGATAGGTAGTTGCCAATATCCGGAACGCAAGTCGAACACAGTGAAGTATGAAGTATCGAGAGTGCTGGAGAGAATCGAAAATCTCTGCAACCGAAGGCACCGCTACAACCCGATTCACGATCAGTTCATTCAAGCGCCGGAAATCCACGCAAAACCTGTATTTTCCGTCCGCCTTTCTTATAAGCACAACCGGGGAGTAGTACGCATTATTAGCTTCCTCAATTATGCCGTTTTTCAACCTCTCTTGAATTTGTTTGCGTAATTCCCCCCATAGATGGGGTGCCAGCGGACGGGAACGTAAGATCGAAAGCATTTGGACGAGTGAGATTTCCTGTTCGATCCACGGGCAGAATCCAATCGGATCTTCATCCCCCTTGGACAGTTCAGAACATTCTTTGACCACGAACTCTACCGACGGAAGGTTACAATACGGAAGCTTGCGAACACAGCTCACCCACGGCAATGCTTGGGTAACTTTCAAGCTTAACTGTGCCACAACTTGTCAACTTCCTTGCTTTAAGTCAACCACGGAATCTGTACTCTTGAAGAACTTTGCCCCCAATATTGTCTGCTCTATGTCTGGGCTGGTCAGGAACGCGTTCCCATGGACTTACCGCCTGGGCTTACTGGGTGTATTGACAATCCGTATTAATCAAGCACAGCTCCCCCTTCCCGCCTATCTCGATAATGACCTGTATGGTAGCCTGTGTCACTGCGGTAATCGCAACCCACCCAGGAAAACAGTACTGCAAAATTTTGTTATTTACAAGTGGCCGGGTGGAACGACATTGATTCCTCCAGTGGCCAGGCCTACCACACTTGTAGCATCGACTAGTTCGGACATATCTCCGCGATTCCCTCCTGATGGCTGCAAGCTGTTCGTCTAGTTGGTTCACTCTGGTCTGCAGTTCGTCCACCGGTGAACCATCCCTGTTGTCCTGCGACTGCAGCGTAGCTACTATTGCCTCCGCCAATTCCCGTACCAGATGCACAAGCTCCTCCACACTCAACTGGCCAGTTGCTCTCGCCAACCGCAACTGGGCACCAAGCGCCGGCTGCACTCTTTTGATGAACCAGTCAGACAGCAAACGCTGGTGCGACACACTTCTCCAACGCGTCTTCCTGAACTTTGCTGGATACTCATTCACCATCACTCAAATGTAAACGAACGCCACAAAGCAATTCTACAGATTCCGTAATAAATCTCACATTTCGATAGATGCGAAGAGGATTTATGCGAAAACATCACACCACTCGCATGCTTCGTCAGTAGTATTCACCGTTACATCGGTGGTAGCCTCGTTTCGTTTTCAACCTCAGTTTTCACGAGTATTTGTTGGCATCGGTGTGAATACAGCTGGTGGTTTATAACAATAACTCAACTGATTTTTTTCACTTCGGCTAATCAGATTTGACAGATCTCTACCAAAGAGGTTTTTCACTTCCATCCACTTGGCTTAAAAGGCGAATCTATAAAGTCTACTCTTCTCGCCTGTCTTGAGCGTGTTTGAATTACCATCCCTAACGTAGGAGTGTATCTGTACCCAAAAGGGAGATCTTCTACAAGGTGGGTCACTGATTCATACATTCAAGCACATACTCAGTCGCGCTGGGCTAGGTCTCAGTTCAACCCCAACTTGCGTCAATTGCGAAAATGTTCGCCCATTCAAATTTGTTAATGGACATAGATCGAGCGTGTGTGTGTGGACAACCGTGCTGAACAACCGAGTTCAAATCCAAATACAGTCACAAACGTACTTCATCTCTTCACGAAATTAGAGTAAACTCGATTCTGAACCAACAAGGCCATTAACAGCAGGATGACAAATAGATGCCTAACGGGAGAGCAGGGCAGATATGTATACTTATGAAAAGATCAGCCACCCGGCAAAGTCGTTGACGCACTATTGCACGTCACTGATTATCAAACCATAATTCGTCAAAATAAATCTGCAGTCACCTTAAAATGCTATACCCCCTGTGCTTCGGTTGCGGCCTACTGGGCATGGTCAGCTTACCATGATGACCCACCATTGTTCAGCGTATTTTCCAGAATCTCCAAAGCATTCGTTTATCAGCATTTTAGTATATTTGGGCAACCAGTAGGGTCATTATGGGATGTTGCCTGCTAACTTGAATTCTGAGATCAACAAACACATCTCAAAAATTAACTTTAACGATGCTTGGGCACACGAGTGTATAACCAACCTTTGAAAGTTCCACATTTGCGAAATTGCTTTGACGCAAACAACACTGCGCGTTATACTCAACACCCAACTAGCCAGATGTTACATAATAACGAAAGCATCCTGTTAGCCTTCAAACACTTCTCGCCATCACCCCTCCATTTAAAGATACAGAAGATACCGTGGCTATTCTGACTGTGCTAAACTAATGAATTTCCGCTCATTCGAGTCATTGTAAACTTAAGCTGAGAAGCCTACTGTATCCAACTGATAATTCATCAGTTCATCAAGTGAAATCATGGTTTCCATCGGAACATACGATTAATTAAGGCGTGTGATCACTGCGGAAATTACATCTGTTTTCCAAACATATGCTGCTACAAATTCCTACGGATTTATTTGTGTTTTCTATTTTCACCGTTTTCTCTTATGTGGAAAATTTCACGCGAGTGGCTGTTTGTTAAACTTCTCCGAGGACGACACTGTAATGGACATTCCTAATGAGGAACCTAGTAACAGAGTAAAAAATGGCTTCGTGAATGACAAATCTCCAAGGATTCAGCTGAATTAAGTCCCGTTTGGTGGAACACACTAACTGGAACTACCAGCTTAGCTGTGAAGCGGATTCTACATTTATAACGGTTCACGTTGCGCGTCAAAATAGGCTAAGCATAAGTCTATATCGCTCCTCTTATACTGTCCACTGCATTTTTCCACATGCGTTGAAATATACAGGCGGAAGTCGAGCACGTGATGGGGTTCAGTGATCCGAAGAGTAAATGGTTTTCTTCAGAGCCAGTGGATGCGGACGTTTCTCTTATATTTACTTCGGACGAGCATACTAAGTCTTGTGAGCGAGTACATCTTGCGCGGTAAGATGACCCACTACTCCACAAACAACGTCTATGAAGATAGAATGGAACTCTAGAATGGGGGTTGTAAACCTCATCGTTCAAAATGCAAGTCCATTCCGACAGCAGATTGATTGCTGCTCTATTGAACGATTCCACAGCATTATGAAAGTTGCTGTGTACGAACTTTACCTCGACTTCAGCGTATTGAATATCCGTGGCCACTAATTTTTGGTGCCTCCGCATTATTCCTCTTTCCCATTTCTCATTTTAACTTTCGATTTTACCGTGTGTTGGTGTATCTACGTCCACACCTTTCAAAACCTTAACCCAATCAGGATCATATGATCACAATCTTTTTCGACCTTAGCTAAGAAGTTCTACTGAAAACATTTAATGAAAAAATTTAATTTAATTTAATATAACTGGAAAAATTTAACTCCATGATGGAAATAAGAAATTCCAAATACAAGAGAATTCGAATAAAAACAGATCATTTTCACCGAGGTTAGAGGTTGCTTCCACCCAGAGTAGTGTTCAGTCATCTATTTTGCTCCTCTAAAATTATCAGTACCAACGCTATTGACGCAAACAAGCACGGTTCTCACATATTCACAGTTTTCAGCTTTATTAACGGTTGTTTCACGTGTACTACCTCGTAACTGTGAAAGCTTTATCTGTAGGATTCTGTCGCAGCACTAGCAAGGCATACAAAAAACGTTTCATATTTACAACTGTACAAAGTTGAGTCTATTTAACGACTCAATAACTTATCTCTTCACACACCCCTTATGTTCCCCTTCAGAAAAGTAAGGTAGTTATGGAATTAGAAGTGGTTGTCCCATCTTACTCACTCTATAAGAACTACGTAAACCCAGGTGTAGTGAAATTAACACATTACGGACGATTTATCCCGAAAATATATACGATGAATCCCGTCTACTGTGTTTAGCAAAGCGGAAAGCTTTGACAACTCATTAATTACCCTTAGTTCAATAAAGACATACTGAAAGTTGAAATAAGCATCACAAAGAGAGGATTTTGCAAAATATACCTAGAAACACTATTGAACACAATCTGAGTTTTTCAGCAAGATTCTGCATAGGTTTTCTTAATTTCTGGCGGTTTATCCTCTCAAGCTTACTCATTTTTGCTTAGAAATGCGTTTATTCTGTATAGTTTTGAACAGAATAGGGCTAAGTAATCATAGTTAGAGTGTGGCACTGATCATTACAGGGTTCTATGTTCACGCCTCATTGACTAAACCAGTTCAATTGTCAGAAAAATGATGAAACGAGTTCATCGCTCACCAGATTGTCTCCATATAGAGCATAGGTGGTAATAAATGCACGTCTGAGTTTCAATTTCCCGTTGCAGTTAACTATGGCTCAGCCGTCGAACTCCCGGATCAGCGGATCACAACGCCGGCTGGTCGGCTTCCCTGCGTATTTCAGCTGATGCAGCATGAGTGATCTAGTCAATTCCTTGATCTTCAGCTCTCAGCCAGTATTCAATGATTGCTTAATAATTAAAACCTGCCATACTAGCCAGCTTTGTATCGTCAAATAAACTGAATTTTTGCATAATGATTTCTTCAATCCTCACATCCTGGTAGCCTGTTTCATAAAATTATCTTCAAATTTGTGTCACGCCACTGTGTAAAAACAAAGTGATATCCTGTTGGATTTAATGGTTTAAGGGTGTATGAAAGCTCCCATTTCAGGTGACTTGGACCAATTCCAGCTCCAGTGTCACCGTTCACGAGGGTAGCTAACAAGATTTACTACGTATCCTGTCTCGCCTCACTTCTCTCACTCAATAATGATAGGTCAAGTTTACTTCATATGTTTCAGCTTTGCATTATTATGACATCAAATGAAAACTTTCTGTTTGGTGACAGTGAGAAAACGCACGGTAACCTGGTTAAGAACGGTCAAAAGAGAAATGCCCTGGAACTGCCCGGGTTTTCATTGCGGTATGGATTGACAAGATACTAACAGACATTCGACACAACGATCGTTTAAACCCAAAAGCAAGATTACAGTTCATATCAGGCGCGCGCTCATTGCACATCAAGATATTTTCCGGTAGTTGATGGCCAGCGAGCGTTGTTGATGAATAATGTAGATATAATTGGCCGTGTTCTCTCGTTCACCCCGCGTGAGTCCTACACGCAGCTATTGACTTATGCATTAGGTTTCAGTATCCATGTATATTTAATATGGTTTATAATCCCATTGATGATGATTTTTAGGATTAAAAATGAATTTCCGCTACGACATTGGCAGAGCTTTGGTTCTTGGATCAACTTAGAGCAGCTGCTGAAACCCATGGCCTCGTATTAACAGGTAGACCATAAAAGAGCTTAGTCTGGTGTTCTCACTAATTAGAGCATGTACCCAAAAAGATTTTCAGACCTCTCCTAATCTCCGATGAGGGGGATTAACTTTGATTTCGCACAACGTTCCGTGGAGGGATATCAACGGTACTTAACTTAGTGTACGAGGAAGGTTAAACTGTGATAAAATAATTTGATATTCCTAAGACGTTTTTAAGATCCCAACTTCCAATAGTGTTTTCCTTTTCTTCAAGAGAAATTCCTCGAAAAGACGCAACTAAAATATTTGGACCATATTACAACAGTTTGATCTACTATCATAGTTACTTTTCGCTTATGGTTGTTTCACCTTGTCCAAATCCTCGTATTCAGTCTGCTCAGTTCAATAAGACACCACTGTTGCAGACAGCAGCATAGCAGTCATTTTGCTCAAGACCAACCACTCCAGGCTGTTGTCTCAGACATCAATTATAGTCATTAGGATTACGACATACAGGAACCCACAGCTTGCAGCGCTAGTCGCCATAACAACATACCACAGTTAACAAAAGCATCTATTGAAAAATTAACTGGCCATTTTCTTTTATTCTCTGTGCAATGCATAATGGAATGTTTGCCTGTGTGTAGGTTGCAGCCGGGATGGAAACACACCGAAGTGAAGTCACAAACTTGGGCCGATAACCCCAAAATTCCAGTCTTTGAAATTTGTTGTTTAGATCGTATTCGCAGCAAACTTTGGTTGGTAGATATCACCGTGATTTTACTCTGAATAACTCCCGCTGAAGTCCGTCCAGTGACGTCAGTGCATTAATCTCGAATGCCTGGAGTTCGCAAAATGTGACATTAAGCTGTGAACATGTATATGGCTGAATTAATAGCTATAGTACAACCAGATGTAAAGTGCTAGGGAGCGACTGAGTAGCCATCTTTTCAAAGGAAACCAAATACATTTACCGAACCCTTCTGGGACAAAGCTATAATATAAATTGGTTGCAACACATGAAGTGTCTTTGGAAACCATTAACATAGAACCACAAATGGCAGGTGAGGCACTAATGAAGACCAGTGCTTGGTATTGTATTGCTGATGAGAAACGGCAAATAAGCTGTGACGGCTTCGCTGTGGGCCATGCATGTTGAACCGATGTCTGATGGAAACACTGCTGTAATTCATTCCAACACTGATATGTGATGGCACGTATGATGATGATGATGATGATGATTGCTACAGCGGTAGCAATATGGATTAGGATGATGATTATGCAAACAATAATAGTGACGATGATGGAGGTGTTCAGGAGCATGGGGAAAATTTGAATTAGCATGTAATATTAGTGCACCTCATGGCACAGACGAGCTAAATTTAGACACAAAATCAACAGTAATTGTTAAAAAAAATTCGCAAATTAACTCGTTTACTGATAGCTGATCCTCCGGTCCATACTGTTTGAACCTCAATCAACAATACAAGGCCATCCTGTTTATTTTCAAAGTATCTATAGACTTGACACCCAGTCCTAAATAACCAGAGTTCCTCTAATATCCCTGAAAACCCTGACATCGTCCATGTTTTTTTAGTAAAGCGGCAAAGTATCATTGCTGCTATTTCTAACTGCATCAAGTGGTTTACATCAAGTTTGTGATAAAAATCATCCGATTTGCTGCTTTAAAATCTTCCTCTCTGGCACATTTGTTCCAGCATGAATCTGGTCACGTAAATATGCATTTAATTTTGCCTCCTTTTCAGTTTGTTGTTACCGGTTTGGATCAGTGGGGAGTCGATATATTTGAATTGAGTCAGCTCACATCCAATCCCCTCACTTGTTTATTTTATGCCATTTTTCAGGTGAGTTGCACAGATTTATTGCTAGAAACAACACTGAGTAAACGCGATTTTACATGTTCACTCCAAACTAGAGGTTTTTTTATCAGGCTGAGAAAGTGCTCTGGTAACTTGGTATTAAAGGTTACAATGGGACATCCAACGAGAAATAAGAAATCACTTATTTCGTTTGGTTTCCTGGCAGAGAAAGCAGACCAGCGGAAATGCCGAATGTTTTGATTATTAATTATAGTCTTCTATCTTATGGTGTTTGGTTTTAATCATTTTGACCCCGGGGTTTATGACTGATAAGCTAGAACTAACTGACACGGTGATCATGGGATGATTGTTGAAGCTTATTGCTGTTAGTATAGTAATAAAAGACCTTCTTATTGGGAGTTTTCACTACAAAATCCACAATTTGTTACCGACCACTTGTAAACAGGTTAGGAATAGTAAGCCAAAATTTTGAGGTTACCTAAATGGAATTACTTGTTTGATCTCCAGTTGGTCACTCTATCACTTGCGTTCAGATGGAACACAAGACTATGTTATCCAACATGCGACATTGAATGATTCGGTTGTTCTATATACCCTCATCGGTGCTATCTTCTAAAGTATTTTTCTGGTGGTGTACATGATCGTGTATGCAGTGAGACAAAGCGATTACTACCTTTTGTCTGTCAAGCAAGGAATGTTTATGTGATACTTGGGGGGATTCATCATGATGGGACATGCCAAAACATCTAATTTAACTTCCATCTCGTAGAGCAAACCCCTGGAGAGAGACAAAATCTTTATAGAGCTAACTTGTGATTTTATTGAATTTAGCGGATCTGCGACTAAAACATTAAAATTTTGGAGCCTGATTCCATCATACGCAGTGGGACGAAACAGAGTGCCTGCAGAGAACCTTCCTAACTTCCCGCCAGTGCTACCCAACGATACCAAGTGAATTAATTACGACCACTCCCATCCGTTTCTTATTTTTTGCTGTTTTTTCAGTCGCTCAGATTTTCATGGTAGGGAACCCCGGCTGATAAATTGCTGCCTGGAGCTCCCGAATTAGCAAAACTTAGTCACGAATTGGTCTATACTCAACGGTGCATTCATGTGTACTTGGACTTGGAGAGATGGAATCCTTTGTAGTAGTACAATAAATAGGACAAAGAACGCGTATGAATTCAAAGGTTGATGGAGGTAGTTCTGGTACATTGTCACACATCTCAGTATATGACTAGAGAACTGAGCGACAGTATGACGTCTGGATGCCTTTAATGAGAGTTTCATCCACTAAGCCGAAAAAATTCAGTTGTATTCCGCAAGCTTCACCGTACCTTGCGTGTGTGTCAACCTAGCTGCAGCTTCAAAACAGGAAGTTCAGTGTGTTTTCTGTGAGCTTGTAGATATCTTTGCGGATATGTTGATTTCAACCACCTTAGGGTTGACCATAGCTCACGGCCGTTCAGAGGATTATGGAAATAAACCCTTAAAATGAGCCAGGAGAACAAGATACGCGGCTTGTGATTATGTATTGGCTGAGAACTAATCAAATAATCCATCGCTGGATAGGTTGCCTGCGTGCACCGAATGTGAGAAGTGGCTACGTAATTTTGAGCTAACCAGCTAACTCGAGCAAATTCAGGTACAAAATATGATCTGCTTTTCTACTCTAGTCCACAGTAGTCAACTTTTAGTTTGGTAGATCTTATCTACCTTCCATTCAACAATAACTCGAGCAATTCAGGTACAAAATATGATCTGCTTTTCTACTCTAGTCCACAGTAGTCAACTTTTAGTTTGGTAGATCTTATCTACCTTCCATTCAACAACATCTGGTATGTTTTCAACACTCAGGTTAGTTATCTGTATGGAAAACCCAGCAGCTGGAAAAATGGATCATTACTTGCCATGACTTTTTATGTTGCTGACCCTGAAGGTTGGAAATTTCATCAGTAACTGTCCTAGAAAGTACTTCCTTGTGGGTAAATTGGTAACTTAATGAACTTCTAACGGCAAATTTAAGGTAGTTGGAAAGAAAGCATGTCAGCTTGACCAGAATTCTCAGACAAATTTAATACACACTGGAGGTAAAGAACTACAGTTCTCGAAACTGACATCAAAATAGAGATTTTTTGGTTTGCAGTCAAACTACCTTGATTTATTGTTTTTTTGCCACGCATTGAGTACTGGCGTAAATTTAAATTACCTTTAAACTTTGGTTTAACAAAAACTATCTCTTTTAGAAACGTGGGCTCATTAAACGGTTCAGTATTCCAGAAATGAATTTGGTCCGTTATGCTAATCTGATTGAAGAGAAGTACAACGACGTTCCGTATCATAATAGAGTGCATGCTGCTGATGTTCTTCAGTCAACCCATGTCCTGCTCAACGCATCTGCGCTTACGGTGAGTAGGAGTATTACCACTGTGACTTACGACTGTATCATGACTTCAGAAAAAGGAAACTTTGGTTTTATTAGAAAGACGATTGACCAAAGGCATCAAGTGCTATAGAGAGTGAATTGAGGTTAAGGAAATACCACGTACTTCCTGGAAAGATATGAAGTTATTTTGGTTATTTACTTCCCGTCATCCGTGTGCATGAACCTATATTCAGCAAACCATCTGGTATTATATTTTACCAGCCTATGGACAAACGTGTACACGGAAGATGTCTAGTTAACGGTCTGGTGATATCACAGCAACTAGTTTAGGTGAACCTGCTCGATTTTCCAACTACCGGTGGTGGGCTTCACTGTGCACAAATTGTTTTGAAAACCCTGTTGATGAACAGGAATAGTTCACTAGGTTTATTGGACGTTTGTAAGGAAGTCCGTATTCCTGAACACGTTTTCAGCTCGTTGACTGGCGCTGAGTAAATATCAACTTTCAGCATTTCCCTCGCCCCCAGAGCCAGTGATTTTGGGATAGTTTATGGTATGGGCGTCCGCGGATGAATACCCCACACTGGATTAATGCGACCATGGAGGGTTACGCAATAAATGAAAATGTAATCACACGTTGAAAGTGTGAATAAAGTACGACAGTGCAAATCGCTTTTATTGGGAGATTGCGATAAGAACGAGGTTTGCACGTCGGTTGTGCTTCCTTATGGCGCGCTCAACCGCTGTTCCAATAACTTTGGTTGAAACGTTACTTAAAGCCATAGTTGTCGGAACTTTTGAAGCATCTAACGACGCTGTAGTACAACCGTCTCAAGCATTGTTGTGAACTCAGCTCAGTGTTGTGACCCTGACAGGATTAGAGACCAATTATTTGGAGGATCAGCCTGAGCCTTCGGAGCCAAGATGGCGGTTAGGATCACAAAGCTGGTGACGATTGTAAGGACGCTTTACTTCAGAGCATCAGTCTACCTATATCTGGGTCAATTTACAGCGCAACATGTAAATCCGCCGCCCCATTCTTAGGAAAACCAGAGAAACAAGAAAAGTGCCACTAGACAAAATACAGGTTTCAACCCAGCATTCAATAGAAAATTGATCCTTTCCATCCTGTTATTGACTTTACTCAACTGTTTTGATGAGGGTTTCCTATGATCTGATCATGCGCAAATGACAGTACCTTTAAATACTGGTCTGGATCATGCCACCACAGGGTCACCACAACAAATAGCTGGAAAATATTCACCAGGTTTGCAACAGAAACGTCTCAGATTCAAACGAATTCCGGGGAGGTCTTTGTGCTTCGTTTTTAAGATGTTCCTGATAGCAAACAATATTTATGCTCTTTAAAAAGTCCCTGCTTAAAGTGAGTGCTTCTGTGTTGCAATCAACTTCTTCCGTCATTTTTCAGCTTCGTTCACCTTGTAGGAGCTTAGAGACCGGTTTAAAAACTTGCATTTCTTTTTTCGTCTGTGAAACTTTTTCCAAGGGAAGATAAAGTTCTACTGCTTATATCTCATTGCTCAAATTTGGTTAGTTATTTGTACCTATAGAGGAATAGTTCGGTTTCATTCCCGTTCTCATTCATAGAGTACAGTCTGTAAAAATCAACGTTAATGGAGCCCTTCTTGATTCTTGATTGGTTAACAAGTAGATATCGACACAAGTTGCACTACGCATCGGATGTTTCCGATGCTAAACTGGGTATGACTATGTCCTGCACATGCTACTTTTGTCTATTATTTAGTCTACAGTATCACATGCAAACCGTCCATCAACTAAGTTGGGGATTAGTTCTGGGTTAGATGAGGCAGACCACCCTTGTGACTATTGTCTACATGGGCACTGGTAGCCTGCAAGGATCGATGCTCTCGAGGGTACGCCAATCACATATATTGATCACCCTGGTTACCAGGTCTGCCATGAGACTTGTTGACGTGCGCGAGTAATAAGCAAAATGAACGATACCTTGAACGTGTTATTCCAGACATTCCATCGACCAATTCCTCAATAAACCTTCAAATCAACGATGTGAAGAAGATAAGGTGAGACTGACTTTTTGGCGTGTCCTACTCTTTGGAGTTCGGGTTGTGTAAGAATTTGAAAGAGGCTTCTGTTTTTAAACTGCTCCCAGTTACCCAGTTCAAATATGCCATAGACTCCGCCCGTCATTTGGGTCAAATCTCAAAAGCCGGTCAGCTGTAACTTATTTGACTAGCATTTGGAGTTCGCGGAAGGGGACACATTTTCACTTGTTTTTTAGCGTCTGAAATCGAGAAGACTTTCTCCTTCTCGATCAAGTCGATGATATACACAAAAGATTATCACTGCTTGGCGTCTCACAGTACTGAGACATACGGTGTATTTAAAAAAACATGAAAATAGTTAGCTTAAGGATGCAAGATCAGAGGAGTCAGTGCAGACAGGTCTGCCTAATTAAAGTAGCAAATGATCTGCTAATTTAAGTGAGGATGCAATTTTCGACGGCGTGATTTTCTTTTCAAGTACCTAGATAATGTTCCTTGAAGAATGAGTTATCTACTTTTTCAATAAAAAGTAGCCCATTCAGAGCAGGATGTGCGAGATGGCGAATGGTTTGATGGGCAGAAAACGTAGGCAACCATTGCAAAGCAATCCACCTCCTGTAAAACTTCCGGAAATCCTCCGAATCTACTAATAGATCAGCGTCAGGCTGACTGAAATCGGCTGACTGATGAAATCGGAAAACAGCCGCTACGACTTATTTAACGCAAAAGACTCGCTATTTGGGAAGGTTTTATTTCGGTTTTTACTGTAATTAGGGTTGTGTTTTGGACCAAAATAAGGATCAAAGCAAGGAAAACGAGATCCGCATTTTTCAGCGAAAAAGTCTAGCCGTGAAAAATAATAAGGGGAACGTCTAATAAGTGAAGGGTGATTTGGCACATCTTGAATCAACGAAGATACATGCCTGGGAAGGACTCAGACAGTGGAACTAGTGTTAAGCTGGAAATGAGCATTAAGGGTGGTATTTGTTTCGAAGATCTCAAACAATTCGGAAGTACTACAGAGACTTTTGTAGTGTCATTCCGAGTCACTGTGGAGCTCGAGATTGTGATGTTGTGCTTCGCAGAACTGATGGAATATCCAGCGACTTGGACTCATTCATTTATTTGGTAACATGTAGCAATGGATCATTTTTCGTACACTAGGAAGAAATCATAAAGTTAAAGTAGCAAATATATACAGGAAGACTCGTACCAAGCCGAAGAGAATAATGTTCTATATTTGTCAAATTCTGTGAGCGATTTTACTATTCTGAAGGCTTATTTTGTTCTCGTAAGTTTTACGTTCTAGCAGAAATAACATAGTAATGCATAAATATCTTGAACAGTACGTAGTCATTTTATCATCCGACTTTTTGTACATTGCTAACTTGTAATTCCGTTAGAGGGCTTGGTTCAACATCCTTTTTGTTGCTGGCTGGTGGTTTTGTTCGTAAACAAAACTCGAATTTATGCTGGATATTGTTCACTACTGCATAGATCACTTCTTGTAGAAAGAAGACGATGGGCACTTTGTTGATTCTGTTTTTTATCTCGGTAATCCTACTAAAAGTAATATGACCATACGCTACGAGTTTTTATACACTTTTCCAAACTTAAATGTAACACATCAGTCGTTCAGCCGTTCTAATCATTTTCACAAAAATTGCGTGGCTTGTATTCTTTGTCCAACCTCTTGGAATATGAAGGAGTATGAAGATGGCTAGATTTTATGGCCCTATTTGATGACAAACTCCAGCAGGTAATGGTCTTTAAGATACCTTTATCGCATTCCGTGAATCACAATAATCAAATAAATATAGACTTAACCGTGGGGGCCGGAGTATGCCCTATGGCTCTGAGCGATTTTGTGCCGTTTAATGAGGTTGGCAATCTCCCTGGGCCTGGAGTTGACCACGGTGATTTTCCAACATGGATAAAAAAGAGATGAAAGGAAGAACTATAACTGGAAGGTTCACGAGAATTTTAGCCAGAGGTATCACATCGCTTTTCTGAGGAGGGCACCCTTCGGTATGCACAGACAGGTAAACTAAAAGGATGTATTGGAATTTAACCGAAGACCAGAAAATCAATTTTTAATCTAAAATATTTTCTCTACTTTAGATCCTGATCTCTTGTGACCGTTGTGTACGTTGTCAAGCAATTGTGCGAATCTACAGGAAATATCAGCCTAAACATTTTTTCAGTGAACTATTTCTTCCAACCGCCAGTGTGACGAAATATGCGCTTCAGTCACATGTGTATAATTGAGGCAGTTGATTCAACTTAAGCCATAAAACCCCTGTTTAAAATGCGTTCGTGAAGCAACAATGCTCAACACCAGTGTTGGCACCGATGTTGATGATGATACAAAAACTGACGTATGTGATAATCTGCTGTACACTTTATTTAATGGAGTTGTACTACCTGCGGTTTCATTAGCTCTTGATGCATGATCTCCTCGAGTGCAACAGCACTCCAGCGCCCACGTGTACGCTATCACAACGCGAAGTTCGAGAACGCCGCCTTGGAGACATAGTGTGTTTTCGTTAAACATTATCCTAAAGGTTATCAAACTAATATATGGTTATCGTAACTCTACTTGGTTGCCCTTTTGCAGGAGACCTGCTGAAATGAGATTGGTTGCTTTAAAACTACTTTTCTCTTGGTAAAATAAGGCAATTCCATCCTATAGCTCGATCAGCCATTCTGTGCAGCTTACTTTACTTATTTAGTCGCGCTGCATTTCTTTCAATTCGATTTATAGGAAAAGACGCTAAACCAAAAAACACAAAGTAAAATATGGCCAGCTGTATTGTCTAGTGTTGAAAAGCACTTATTGAACAACTAAACAACATTACAAACAGAACTGAAAGATTAATGTGAGCGCTTCAAATGAAATCTCGCACTCATGGACGTGTCCGAAGCAGGCCGCAATGAACATACGACCAGATTTTTGTACAGATTCCTGCGGATTAGTCCGGGAGTGATTCTGTATGATCTGATAAATTATCTACCAAATGAAACGTGCTCATTCTTCGCGTTATGGACCGACCTTGTATCGAACTCCCAGGTTTCCGTTTGCTATTGAACAATCATAACAGCATATTCCCGTCTTCCTCACCAAATTAGTTGTTTCTGATATGTTAGATTAGCCAATTTAATAGCATCAAGCGCACTTGGTTGCATGCAGTCGGATGAACGAATTTGATAGAAACCAATTCCAGATGCACACTTCTGTCACAAGGTCTTTCGACAGATGAATAAAGTTTGTCTGGTATTATCAAATCTCAAGTGGTCATGAAGGGCAGAAGGAAGACAAATGCACGCAATGTGAAATATCGTGTTTTTAGTCCAGTTCCGCTAAGTGTAGCAGTAAAAGGTCGGTGTCCTGACGAACAGTGCAGTTAGATGAGCTCAATTATTCGAAGTCGATTATTCAGTATTTGGACAGAGCTTTAGACAGGTGTTCTTGACGGAGGAACTTCAAGCTGCTGTTGTGGTAAAGCCTGGTATTTGGTTGGTAGCACTGAAAATTCTTATAAAAACATCCCGCCGTGAACACCCACTCACCAAATTTAGATTTACTCATGTGACACTGATAAAACAACAACAGCATACGACGCTGAAAATCTCTATATGCACCCTGATTCAGCCCTGACTGCTGCGATTCGGTGAGTGGTTGCCTGCATGATTTCGTGTGTTCTGTACATGCTAGCGCTGGAGATTTATGCGACTTAAAATTCACACTTACATCAATCACCAAGAGACCGTGACTCTTCGCTGTCTGAATAAGGCTATTTTTGAGAAATCAAAACTCGCCGAATGCTCCTCCATGTATCGCAGTGTTGTTGCCCATTAATTCCCTCATGAATATTTCTTACCTTCCCCAAGCTCCAACCGAATATTTTTGCCTAAAAAATAAGTAACAATGAATAGCTGCTCGACACACAATTTAGCAAAACCAGTCTACTTATGTCCAGTCAACTATGGACCATGGACTAGGAAACTATGAAAAATCTGTCCACATGAATTAAAGCCTGTTCAATGCTAACCACTTCATTGTGGTACATGAGAATGAAAGGTTTACCACATATCCTGAATGGCTATCTTTTGTGTGGACAAAGTGGATATCCCTCAGATATGTTTATGCCAGTTAAAGTTATACAGAATACCCCACTATTTGGGTCTTTTCAACAGTATTGCATAACTTTCAACAAATGCTGGGCGCTTTATCATATACTAGCTCTACTGATAAATCAGGTTCTACTGAAATAATCTTCTGACGCACTAGCACGATTTCGACGTGAGTTTGTTTAGTTCGTCCGAGGTCAAATTAACCGACTATGTCAGCGATCGATATTTTTTGTTGCATTCATTATTCAGCGATCTCTGAACGCGTTCTCAAGTACACCGTGGGGTATTCCGGTATTAATTGAAGAAATTCCATTATATTCCCCCTCCATCACTGACAGTCTGTTTTCACCGATTTGGAAGTCATGGCAGTGTTGTTTGCCTGTGCCATTCACGACGTCGATCACCCTGGATTGACGAATCAATTTTTGATCAACACCAGTAAGTCACTTTCGTTGCTACTTTTTTATAGGCATTACCCACTCCCGCCAAGCATCAAACATAGAAGGGGACTTCACTCGCGAGCTGGAATCAGGAAGAGTTTTAGGGCACTGGTCAATAGTACTCACGTTTTGCCGTGTTCACCGTTTTGACGCTCCAAAAAATGTGCTTCAGTATTGTCTCCTGCCAAACAGCTTGGAGCCATCGGCAGTGTCAATGAAGTTGAGCAAACAGTAGTTAGTAACTTCTAACCAACCAAGCCTAATGTACTAGTAAAGCTGTCACATCCACTCTGAGAGCGAATGAAAAACGCTAGCGGGCGCAGACCACAGAATTTTCATCGTAGGCGCTGAATGCTATCTTAACTTCAGATGTCATCATGTCGATCGTCAATAAGACAGATGGAAGAACGTGTATAAAATACAATCCACGAGTTTCTGCATCGATAGTAATCCGCCAACATCACCACAGCAGCTAGGAAGTATTTTCGGAACAATGTCCTCTCTTCTGAGGCAGTGTACAGTAGGTAAGGACTGACTGAAACGGCTGTTGCAGACACTACAGGGTAATGACTTATGGTCGGAGAGGTAGCATAATGTATTTTCCAGACGATTTAAAACGACCATGATTCCCGTATGAGTTGCTACAAAAACAAAAGCACACACATTAAAAACCACAAGGTCGGAAAGTGAGGAATGAAATAAGGTGGAATGGAATGAATTTCAAAGCAAACTATGAGCGCTACTGTGTTCGCTGAGTTCAACAAACAAAATAACAACCATCATTGCAGCCCAAGCTATCAATAGTATCTTCAAATTAAAAGCATACTGTACTCGCATGACTTCGCATGCTCTACACCCATTAACAATGAAGCTTCCTTTCTGTTTCTTTCTTAATTCACAGATGATGAACTGGCAATTCTTTATAACGACACTTCGGTGCTAGAAAACCATCACCTTGCTGTTGGCTTTCAGCTGCTCACACGCCCTGGGTGCGACATACTAGAAAACGTTCCCAAAAAGCAACGTCTCAGTCTTCGTAGAATGGTTATTGACATGGTAAGTCCACCAATGGGAACATTTCGCGTTCCCGGTCAAGTTTGATGGACTGAATGAGGAATCGATAATTTTCCTTCGACTCAATCCGCTCTAGAGATTGGGTTCTTTACTCTTGACAATCAACATTCCGAGAACATGCCCAGTCACAACTCTGTAATTAAGACAACCTACAACCATCCTGCGATCAAAGTATAGCTTCCTATTTAATGGAAAACAGATTTTCAAGTTGGTAGGGTGAACATACTCGCAACAACTCGAAGGAATACAGTAGCAAATAAAACCACTGGTTGTCTCAGTTTGAACAGTCGACTAAATGACTAACGCATTCAAGTAGTGGGGAGTTCATGTTTCGAACTTAAGGTATTTCTAGCCTAACGTTAATTATAATAGCCGGTTAGCAGGAAACCACTTAAAGATTATCTTTCGAGCACAACAAACGACTTCTATCAAAGCGGAAGTTGGGTGCATGCACCCCACCACATTGGTAACTTCATACTCGAAGTTGCCAAGGTGGTCGCGAACATCCATTTCTCCGACATTCGGCAGATGTTTGGTCCGACATGAAAATGTTGGCTTTCTTGTGTTTTTCGTAATAAACAGGCTTTTCTCGGTGACAGTTGGTGCAAGCCTGTCTACAAACACCGAGACGTTTTGCTATTTTCCTTGAAATTTAGAACGATTCAGTTTGTTTCTACATGGAACAGACATTCTCAGTCAAAGGGAAACTGATGAAATTATTCTACTCATATACCGTAAGCCAAACGAAACAGTGTTCAGCACACATCACAATTGTGTTCGTAATTTAGCTACTAAGTGTGAATGGACCAAGTATGAACAAAGATTGGGTTATATTGAATGGAAAGTCTTCGACCCCATGTGTGAGCAACTATTCTGCGCAATTAGCTGAAAACAACCAGGTAGTTTTATATGGTTTGGATTAAATTTACTCCACCGAATTCAGTTTAGTCTGTTCCTTAGGAGCATAGTGAAAACTTTTGCTTTTTCAAATAAAGCTCCTTTTAGAGAGCGCTTCTGGTTGGAATCGGACCATCCCGCCTATACAGCAATGCTGGAAAAGAAAATTTTGTGAATAACTAACCTATCTTTTGTTTTTGTTCGTGTTCAATGGCATAGGTGCTGGCTACAGATATGTCGAAACACATGAGCCTGTTGGCAGACCTGAAGACCATGGTTGAGACCAAAAAGGTCGCAGGATCCGGTATCCTTACGCTAGACAACTACAGCGACAGAATGCAGGTGAGTGGATAAGTCCACTTATGTGACTTGTTGCATGATAGAATTTACCTTGGGCACCCAATGTAGACCATCATCATCATCATCATCAACGACTACCTTGGGCATGTAGACCATAAATTACCAGGCAAACACCCATTTAGGCCTCGATATTTCCCCGTATGCTTTACCACGTGCCATAAGCTAAGCTAAATCTGGATTCTTAAGCATACCGCACTGAGCCTCCCATTACCTTGTATCAGACTGGGGCACATTCAATCAACCAGATCACCAACCATCACAATAAATTCAAACCGAGAATCAAGCTTCGAATGTATTCATCTTTTGTCGGCGTTTAAGAAGTTTATGGTATACCATTGGGAATACGTATTTTAACTGCCTAAATCTTTATGTACATGGTCGATAACTCCAAAACTTTTCTATAGAGGAAAATGTTGGTAGCTCAGGTATCGTAGATGGTGGTCGTTGGCTTGTTCGCTGAGCTGGGCAACTTGATTGCAAACGTTTCATCACCAATCGAGGTGGTTGTGCACAACCACCAACCCACCGCTACGCACTGCTACGCTCCACAATAACGCACTGATGATGTCACCTCGATTGGTGATGAAACGTTTGCAATCAA